CGCCAGCCATCCCACGTCACACTCAGGAATGCTCTCTCTCTCTCTCTCTCTCTCTCTCTCTCTCTCTCTCTCTCTCTCTCTCTCTCTCTCTCTCTGAGCAGGAGGCAGAAGGGTGATTGTGACACATTTGTTGTCGCATGCCATGCACTCTATGTGTTGACTGTGACATGTAAAGCCTCACACATTTGAGTTCAAGAGTGCAACAGTGTATCTCTGTGCTTCTACTCTCAGCCTCACGTTCTCTCTGAATACCTCGTTGTGTCCCTCTCACTCTCCCCTACTTAACCTCACTACAGCAATGGTGCCATCCTCCGGCGATTACTTCCGTCATCAGCGTACACCATCTCATCACAAAACGGCTTAGCACCACTTCCGCTGGGTCAAGCAAGTGAATATGTACTTTGCCCACTTCAACAACGGGACTTTTATATCCAACGTTTCGCTTCCAGACTTCCTCCACCGGTTATGGGTTTGGCCCTTTGGCGATGTTTGTTGCTCTCCGAACCCCCTTGGCTGCTGACGGAATGCGGAGTGACTAAATGGCCCAATTCGCGGCCAGCTGTGAGATGCAACGTCTGAAGTGATGAAATGTTCACAAGTTTGGTCCCGATGTGGAAAGCGGAGTGACGAAATGTCCCAATGAATCTGGCCTGGCACTTTTTGTCCGACCGGGGGCAAAGTCCCACTAGCAGCGTTGAGCTACCTCAACGCCTGAATCTGGATGTGTTTGTGGAGACATGCAGTTCAGGAAACTCAACACCAATTCTGCACATCTCCACAAAAGCGTCCACATTCAGGCGTTGAGGTAGCTCAACGCTGCTAGTGGGACTTGGCCCCGGGCCTTTTGCTGAAGGTTGTTGCTTGCGGAAGTTCCCTGACTTTTCCAGGACTTCGCTGCTGGCTGGACCGACGGACACAAAAAGGGCCCACCAACTTCTATCTACTTTTTCCTAAGCCTGAAAAAAATAAAGAAGGAATAACTCAAAAATTCCTAAGCCTACCCCGACTTATGTCTACTTTTTTTTTTCCGTTTTTTTCGAAGAAACAAGCTTTTTAAAAGTTTATTATGCAAATGCCGGGAAACAGGTGCGGCGTCCCTTGACAAATGGTAATGCGTCCCCCTAGCGAGGAGGGCATCACTTTTTCCTAACCCTAAAAATAATACTATAATAATAATAATAATAATAATAATAATAATAATAATAATAATAATAATAATAAAATGCTAAGCCTGCTGGCGTCTACTGGATTCTACCTACGACGGCCTATTGTCCTACTGGCACTGTCCCTTGACTTGGGGCTTGGAAATATGCTGCACTGGACCAGGTACCAGGTATGGGACTGAGCGGGGGCTAGGTCCCACTTGCACAAATTAAGAGATACTGACCGTAGATATAAAAAAGATCAACGGCCGAAATCTCTCGATTTGCGCAAGTGGGACCTTGCCCCGGGGAACTCGCAATGGAAACTGGTACGGAGATCCGGGCGCACAACTGTGAAATCCTTTTAGGGCTGCGTCTCCGCTGTTCGTTCAGGGGCCTGTCCATACTTCGAGCCTCCACACAACCTTAAATAATAATAATAATAATAATAATAATAATAATAATAATAATAATAATAATAATAATAATAATAATAAAAAATCCATTTAGTCATACGTTTGAGCATTGCATATTATGTGCTCATTTCAGGAATCTTCCTACGTTCTTGCCCTGAATAGAAAGTACGGTCATTATATGTGTATTTGGGGCATCTTTCAGTCTAAATGCAGCTGTAATGACGGTACGTTGTATTCGGCAGAAGAAGGTAGTTGGAGCAATGCAAGGCTGTCAGTCCAATTTGACAATGGTCCCGATGTGGAAAGCGGGGAGTGACGAAATGTCCCAATTCGGGCCCAGCAGTGAGATGACGCACTCTACGAATGGGCCCGGCTGAGTTGGTCCCGTTGCAAAATGTGCCCAAATGGAACATTTCATCACTTCGGGACGAAATCGGCTGGGCCCATTAGACGTGGATCCCGTTGCAAACGTGCTCATTCCAGAATTTTTCCAATTCTGCAGCAAAGGGATGACTCTCTCTACAAACGCCGAGTGCGCAGCTGAGGTGGTACAACCATGAACTGTTGCAAAACCTTTTTTTTTTTTTTTTTTTTTTTTTTTTTTAAGAAACAGCCTGAAATGTTGCTAGAGGTGCTGATAAGAGCAGACACCACTAGCACCAAACAGCATGAACTGTTGCAAAACCGCACCAGACGGGAGACGGTTTTACCGGACAGCGTGCGGCACGGTGCGGTCCTGTATGGTACGGGTACGGGTCTGTAGGCCAGACGGGAAGGTCCTGGAATGGACCTCGTACGGCGCACCGGACGGTGCGGCGGGCGGTAGGGTTGCAAGTATGGCATGAACTGTAGAAATACGGTCTCAAGTTCGAGTCGATATACAATCAGATGAAGAGAATAGATTTGTTCCTTATAGACAGAAGAAATGACGACTCGTTCTTTCGGCAGACGAGTGGCAGGGAGCCACTTCTGTTCATCGGATTTGTTCTGCACGCTGGGACAGACACAGTCAGGCAGACACACAGTGTGACTGCGTTGCCTGTGTCGTCTGACTCTTTTCGCCCGATTCGGAATAGAATGCATGGCCATTGTCCTTCGGGTCATGCATTAAAATTGGAAAGATACAGAGAAGATAGGCATGGCGCCTGCGCAAGGATGATGCACTAAATCGAGAAATGGTCTAAAAAAAAGACAAAAAAAAAAGAATGTATGACTAAGCTACCAGCCGGGCCGCCCGGCTCACCTTGTTTCCCCAGGTGGGTCGGCCGTGCAAGGACCAGGGAAGGTCCCTGCCAAAAAAAAAAAAAGGCAACGAAAACAAACTATGTTATGCAGAAAACTAAACTGAACAACTTTTGCCTCAGGATCAAATCGGACTTAAAAAAAATAAAATAATGAATAAATTTAATCTATTTATATATATATATATATATATATATATATATATATATCGTCAAATAGAACTGCCCGGTAAACCGTAGGCAGAGAGGGAGAAGAGGACAACAAACGAGGTATATATATCAATGAATTCAACCCCACCGGCGGGCCATATTCAGCCTCCTGATGAGACGGTACCGGGCAGCTCCGTTTGACGATATACATATATATTTTTGGGCTGGCCGGGCAAGTCGTCCCCGACCACTCTGGTAGCCTAGATGTATGACCCTTATACCTGCATTGGGCCAACTATCAGTCTAGATACGGGGATCATGACTGCACGTTCTATTGGGGTAAGATGGTAGGGTGTGGAGGCAATATCGCTTGGGATATCTGTCGCCGGTGTGCCATCTGAAACAGTGTGCGCAATTAAATTTTGTCAATTTGGAGGTGCTGTTGCGATACACCTCACCTGGACTATTTCTGACAGGTAAAGGGTCGGGGATGAGGGTTTAGGGTTGAGGGTTTAGGGTTTAGGGTTGAGGGTTTAGGGTTGAGGGTTTAGGGTTGAGGGTCGAGGGCTGAAGGCGGAGGGTTAAGGGTGAAGGGTTGAGGGTTTAGGGCTGCGGCCGGAGGGGTGAGGGTTGTTGTAAAAAATTGAGGGTTTAGGGTCGACGGCCCAAGGGATTAGGGTTGAGGGTTTATAGTTTAAGGTTGAGGGTGAAGGATGTAGGGTTTGAGCTTGAGGGTTGGAAGTTGAGGGTTGATGTTTTAGGGTTGAGGTTTGAGGTTATGAGGGTGGATCTCTGGATATAATCGCAGTCAAATACATGCCCCATTGGCTGTAATTGCAGTCAGATACATCCAGGAAATGCCTATTGAAGGTTGAGGAACTTGAGGGTAGAGGGGGGTTGAGGGTGAAGGGTGAAGGGTTTGAACTTGAGGGTTGGCAGTTGAGGGTGGATCTCTGGACATAATTGCAGTCAGATACATGCCCCATTGGCTATAATTGCAGTCAGATACATCCAGGAAATGCCTATTGAAGGTTTGTGGTTGAGGACTGATAAGAAAGAGTCGAGGATTAAGGGTTTTTGAGGGGAGATATCTCGCAGTCAGATACATGCCCAATTGGCAATGTGGCTGTAATTGCAGTCAGATACATTGGGGAAATGCCTATTGTGAGTATGCTCAGATTGTGGCCTAGTAAGTTGGGACCCAAGCGGCAGTCTTTGTGCCCTGTGCCGTCATCAACAGTCGCTACTGAAAAAAAAAAAAAAAAAAATAATCAAACAGTTGCTATTGAATTTCTTTCTTCTGGACTATAGAATCATCAGATAGCGAACAACGCAAAATTTAATGCAGTGCACCTGGTTTTCGGTTTTCTAGTTTTAACTGGAAAAAGGGATAGAAGCATATACTTGCGGCACATCACATGCGCGCGAGTTTCGCGTGTGCGGCACATAGCGCATGCGCGCACGTGATGCGGCACACCACAATAATAACTAGGTTTGATTCAATTTTTTGGAAAAGGCAGGCTGTGGTACCCAAATGCGCCCCTCCCTTCTGAAAATTGTAACTGCACAGGGAAAAAAAAAAAAAAAAAAAAAAGTTGGGGCCACATCGTACTTCTCATTGGATCCAATCTCTTTTCCCAAGGCCCCCCAGCAAAGAATCAGCAAGGGTCCCCTTTTTAAGCAGAGATGTTCATCAAATTTTGAGTTCGACACGAGCAGGCCACCAATATATGCTCTGGATTCGAATTCAGTACTTATATTGGTGGCCTCCTCTCGTTTTCTAAGTTTTTCAGGTCTGTTGTCCAGCAGTTATGGGTTTTGACTACTTACTACAGTAGCACCCTCTTCTTTTTTTTTTTTTTTTTTCATTTTCTTACGTTCAGTGGCTCTAAGGGACTCCTCTCTCCACGAGTCACCAATTGCGTACGTTCAGTGGAAGACAAAGCATATTTGGTGAGTAGTGGAGGGAAGCCGTGACAATCAAGTGGTGACTTAGTAAGTTAGCAACCCATAACTGCTGAAACGCGGACCTGAATTTGAAGGTACATCATATAATATATGGCCTGTTACTTCCCTTACCATAAGTCCAACGGCTACCCCTTTCTTGGCGAGGGGACCCCTGCTAATTACCTTCAGGGGGCTTTCGGATTGCCCGCAGGCGTTTTCTGATTTATGTGAAAGGGCTCTTCTCTCTCTCTCTCTCTCTCTCTCTCTCTCTCTCTCTCTCTCTCTCTCTCTCTCTCTCTCTCTCTCTCTCTCTCTCGCGCGCGCGCGCGCGNCTCTCTCTCTCTCTCTCTCTCTCTCTCTCTCTCTCTCTCTCTCTCTCTCTCTCTCTCTCTCGCGCGCGCGCGCGCGCGCGCGCGCGTGCACACACGCACACACGCACGAGTCTCTCTCTCTCTCTCTCTCTCTCTCTCTCTCTCTCTCTCTCGCGCGCGCGCGCGCGCGCGTGCACACACGCACACACGCACGAGTATACAGATCAAGGACGCTTCTTTATGTCTCTTTTTTTTTTTGTTGAGAAAACTAGGGCGCAGTCATGGTTTGAGTATCTAAATACATTTCAAACTGTCGTTTTTAATTCCAGTCCAGCGAGGAGTTTACTATGCAGTCAAAACTCCGCTTTGCAGAAAAGTCGCACAGCGGAGTTTGGAACTGCAGTTCAGTTAGGCAGATGGCCGTTTTTTTTTTTTTTTTCCGGGCCGCGCGCCGCACCCGGGAAAAAAAAACAAAAAAAACAAAACGGCCCCGTGGTCGGGCCACGGCCGAGATGTCTCGGCCACAGCCGAGATTAACGAGTCATGAGTAGTGCAGCGAGGCCCTAAACCACCTCTACCCTTCACAGGCAAACGCGAAGTCTCAAGAGTAGCCTACTCCGAAGAAGTGGGGGGCTCGGGTCAGGGATGGTGGCCAAAAAAAAAAAAAAAAAAAGAAGAAGAAAAAGAAAAGTAAAGAATCGAGAAACTTCGAATCCACCTACATGGGGAAGGCCCTCACGTCACCAGTGCTTTGAGGAATGTATCTGGCCAGGACGTGAGGAAAAGAGACAAGGTCGTTTTCCTTTTTTGTTTCTTTTTGTGAGGTCCTTGTAGCGCCCTGCCAGCCACGCACCGCAGGGCGGATTCCACGCGAGGCAGCTAACTGCCTCGCTTCCTTCAGTTCCAGACAAGTACTGTAGCATCTTGTCTCGGACCGCAATCACAGCATAAGGGATGCTTTTTTTTTTTCTTTTTTTCTTCCCTATCTCCTGTTGGTGGATTCTTCCCTATCTCCTGTTGGTGGATAGACGGTCCCTGACTGAGGCCACCTGCCTGACTGAACTGCAGTTCCAAACTCCGTGCTGCGACTTTTCTGACTACGCCGGAGTTTGGACTGCATAGCAAACTCCGCACGGGACTGGAATTACAAACGACAGTTCGAAATGCTTTTACAAACAACTGCTTTCGTGACTGTGCCCTATTTACCCCTTTTTTAATTTTTTGCGTAGCAGCAATGAGCGCATTGCGCCACACGCACTGCACTGCACATATGCGCCTCAAGTATGGATAGAAGTGGTTTTAGTCGTTTTTAAACAAAACTTTATCTTATTTTCTTTTATTGCGAAACAAAATCGTTTTTGATTGTGAAAGGAAAAAAAAGAAGCGGATTTTGATCGAGTTCATATGATGGTCAAACAGCATAGCGTGAGTGCTGATGTTTCCCTCGTTCTGTCCTTTTTTTTTTTCTTTTTTTTTTTTTTGTGTGTGTGTGTGCGTGTGTTTGTGTCTGTGTTTGCCTTGTTTTCTTTGAGGAGAATCAGCTTTCCTGAACATTATTTTATTTGTCGGGAATTGAACTCACGGTCTGGTTATCAAGAGACACATATCTGCATCACACGATCTTTCGTTCCCTTTGCTTTCCCTTTTCTTTCCCTTTTCCCCCCCCCCCAAAAAAAAGCAGGTCCTTGTCCTGGCTCAATGTCGATTCTGGGGAGCCTCAGTTCGGTTCCTATTCCCCCGGCAAGTCAAAAAAACGATATCACAATTCTTCCCCCCCACCCCAAAAAAAAAAAAAAAAAAAAAAAAAAAAAAAAGAAAAAAGAAAAAACAGTATCACATCATGGACTACCCACTCACGCACCCTTTCGTCCAGCCGAAGGGTCCAGGAACAGCATTGAATTACTCCACTCTCTCGTTTTTTTTGTTTTTTTTTTAATTTGGACCATTTTTCGATTTATGCGTGTCATCCTTGAAAGCGCAGGGGCCATGCTAATCTTCTTTCTCTGTATTGTTCCAATTTTAAGTGATGTCCCTAAGGACTCGTTTTCCAAATTTAATACAATATAATATAATTATTAATTAATAACATACATCCTGTCCTTTTTGACTTTTGTGTTTTCAGGTGTCGGTAAATAGAACTTTTTGTCAGAGCTGCGATTACAAGCCAACTCCCCCGGGTGAGCGATTACAGCCGAATCCTGATGGATGTATCTGACTGCAATTTTGCAGCCAAATATCCTGGTGCATTCGCAGCCATCAGGCGGGCTAGCTGCGGATGTGGTGTCAGTCCAAGATGGGCTCATGAAGAGCCCATAATGAGGCAAGCATCCATATATCAAATACCTTTTGCAGGCCTAATAGCTCCAATAAGGTTCAGCAGGATCAGATCGGCGCGTCAATTTAACAAACGATAGAAGCCGAGACTTGAGAGAGACTGGAGGATGAGAACATTGAAAAGACTGTAGGGGGAAAGCAGCAACTTTGAGGGAGGGGGAGGGGGGTATGCGCAGGCAGTTGATGAGGAGGGTTAAGAAAAATAGGTGTAGGAGCGGGTTGAGTAGGGTCAAGGGAAGTAGACAAGGAGGAGGAGGAGAAGGAGGAGGAGGTGAGGGAAGTAGAAAGTAAAGAGAGGAGGACGAGCAGGAAGAGGATCGAGAGAGGAGGAAGGAGAAGAGGGGGAAAGGAGGACAATGGCGAGGAGAGGGGGCAGAGGAGGCAAAGGAGGCGGAGGAGGCAGAGGAAGCAGACAAGGAGGCGGCGGCGGAGGAACCGGAGGAGGCACAGGAGGCAGAGGAGGAGGGGAAGGAAAGAGAAGATAGGAAAGGAGGAGGAGCAGGAGGAGGAGAAGAAGAGGAGCACAACGACAAGGAGAGGCATCAAGGAAGAGGAGGAAGAGGAAGTCCGAGGAGGAAGAGGAAGTCCGAGGAGGAGGAGGAGGAGGAGGAGGAGGAGGAGGAGGGGAAGCACAATGACAAGGAGAGGCATCCGGGCAAAGGACGAAGAGAAAGCCAGAGGAGGAGGAGGAGGAGGAGGAGGAGACAGGGAAGGAGGAGGAGGAGGAGACAGGGAAGGAGGAGGAGGAGAAGACAGGGAAGGAGGAGGAGGAATGTAAATAGGTTCTGTCAATATCAAGGTTGCATGGAGTCTGTATTTTTTTTCTTGTACAGTTCTTGGTCCCAGGTGTGTGCAAGGCAGGTTCTCTTTTTTTGGGTGTAGGTTCGGTTTCATTTCTCTTTTTCTTTTTCACAACATGATATGCATTTGGGGTTCCACAGGTAGGTAATACTGCTTTACTTATTTATTTATTTTTTTGGGCAACTTAATGTTGTAAGCAATCGGTTTTGTAGAGTTTACAAGTTTCTTGCCGATGTGACAGAAAGGAGAGAAACGAAAAGCGAGTTGTAGCACCTAGACGAAGGGACTTCCTTTCCTTCTCTTTTTCTTTTTTGAAATGTCTCTCTTTGTTTCCCTTTTTCTTTTCCCCCCCTTCCCCTTGTCTTTTCCTTTTTTAATTATTTTTCTTTTTCTCTCTTTTGAGACGGTATTCACCTGTTCGCAGTAGTGGATGCAAGTCCCAGGGCTCGATCCCTAGACCATCACCTTACCTGTGTACAGTATCTGTGTCCACCCCGAGAGTTGAACCCACGACCTGTGTCTTTCCCCACAGTGGTAGGTTGTCGTAGGTCTGTGGGGTGTAGGGGTTCGATCTGTAGACCTGTCGAATAGGAGTCGTAGCAAGTTCTAGAAGTCGTAGCTATAGCTCCTCCGGAGGGTCAAGGTCGTAGCTGCTACAGTATCCGAAAGGCCAGGACTGAAACTTCCGGAAGATTCTGGTACCGGCCTTTCGAAGCTGCTCACGTTTAGGCTGAGGCAAGCGGGCAAGTGGTGGAGTTCACCCGTGCTGAGTCAGCAGTCCCATTCCCAGTCAGTCCCAGTCCCAGTCCCAGTCCCAGTCCCAGTCCCAGTCCCAGTCCAGTCCCAGTCAGTCCCAGTCAGTCCCAGTTCCAGTCCCAGTTCCAGTCCCAGTCAGTCCCAGTCCAGTCAAGCAAGTACCGCATGGGACTGTGTGCACCACGGGCAATGATGGGAAAGGGGCAGAGCAACGAGATACAGAAGTATAAATGAAGAGGCAGCGCCCAGCCATTCATTCATTCCGGCGTAAGCCGTGCGGAAGCGCTGCCACAGCGACTCGTGTGAGGTGGTCTGCAGTGAGCCCGAAGACGAAGTGGGCGAGAAGGAGAGTTTAGCCATAGCGATAGGGGTAGGAGCGGCCATAGCCGCCATAGCTGATAGGAGAGTGTAGCGTGTATGTGTGTGCGTGTGTGTACAGTGTGATGTGTGTGGGATATCCAGGGTGATGCGGTGTGTGTGTGAACAGCAGAGTTGGGTTGGCGACGAACAGAGAGTTGTATGGGCGCTGTTGCGCCATAGCTGTTTGAAGTGAGCTTGTATCTGAAGAGCGTTCTTGGCGCCAGTTGTTGCGCAATTCAGAGATATGGCTACCATATCTCTGAGTCTTAGTGGGCGCTTGTCGCCAGTTGTTGCACAACCTGTTTACAACTTTACATGCATGTGAAGTGTGAAAGATAGCGAGTCTGATTGCACTTTTTCTTTGTTGAGCATAAAACTAATATTCCTCGTTAACTAATGCTGTGTAGTACGTACTCACTTTATTAAGTTTTACTTAATTACGAAAATGGTGACATGCAAGTGTCGTATGCTTTCATCAGATTTTGATTCACCCTCCTCTGAGACTCCCTCTCTGTGAATGACCTAAGTCTTCTGGTCGGGCTCAGGATGGGCTCAGGATAATATGCCTCGCTGCATTCTTATACCCACTCTGCACCCGATGACCCCAAACATAAGACCCTCCCACCTTAAAGTTTCCAATCATGCCCCAAAGGTGCTATACACATTTCCCTTCCCCTTGAGTACTCTCACCCCTCCTAGCGTGGCAGCGTGGTACCTCAAAAAAAAAAAAAAAAAAAAAAAAAAAAAAAAAAATCATGACAGATTCCTCAGGGATCATAGGCCTCATCATCATTTTACGATTATAGATGTCAGATTGGACTATGGACTGATAATCTGCGTCCAATAATTACTTCAGTTATTAATTAAAAAAAAAAAAAAAAAAAAAGAGGGCGGGATCAACAAGAGCAACTGCAGACTGAGTGTGTAGTGATGTGTATAATAAACTTGGTAAGAAAAAAATACAAATTCCATTGGTTCTTGTCACTGCAGTCCTGTCGAACCTGGACCACATTTGGGTTAATGATCGCACCTGTGTCATCAGAAGTACACAGCCGACACCACAATCATTGGTGCGTTCCACGTATTCTTTTCTTTCTTTCTTTCTTTCTTTCTTTTTTTCTTTCTTTTTTATTTTATTTTATTTTTATTTTTTATTTTTTATAAAGAACTTCTTACAAAACCGGGAAACGGCCCCGCGGTCCCTTAGGAAAAGAGAACTGCAGACCGAGTTCCAGATCCGACAACTCCGGCCGGATTTCAGGTCCGCACTGCAGGAATATCCATCCTGGGTTTTTTTTTTTTTTTTTTTTTTTTTTCCATCCTAGTAAGTAGGGACACCAACAATGGCCAAGTACCGAACAGCATCACCATGGTCTCCAAACTATCTGTCCTTTTTAATTTGGATGCAAAGTCTCTTCAATTCTTCGTAATCATTTAATTGCGCTGAGATCTCTCTCCTTCTTCCAATTCTGCCATTGCAYACCTTGGTTCTGCAAAAATCATAACTCCCAAGTGCTTTTTGCAAATTTAAAACTATCCACATGTTTTAGTCCCTACTACGGCGGCCGTAAGGTCACCTATAGTTATCAAAGTGTGCGACCGAACTTCAGACTAGCGGCATATACTACTCTTCTACAGTGACTTCCTTAACCCATCCCTCAACCAAATAGCAAGTAGGTAGTAGAACAAGGCAAACTTTTACAAACCACAAGTACAACTAAAACTACACATTGATAAGAAAGGGAAATTTAAAGAAGAATGCAAACAAGAATGCAAAAGGAAGGACATTAAAAGTAAATTAAGAGGAAACTAAAACTCACAAGAAACCAACGGGGCGTAGCTCAGTTGGTACACCCCTGAACTGTTGAAATACAGACTCGAGTTCGAAATTCGAATCCAGATGCCCTCAGATGTAGAGAACAAAATCATTCTGAATTGCCTGGGGCCGGTCAGTTCAATGATGATATCTCTTTTTTTAAGTTGTTGTTGTTGTTGTTGTTGTTGTTGTTGTTGTTTTTTTTTTTTTTTTTTTTTTTTGAATGGGAACAAGGCTCCAATCTATTCGTGGGGAGCAGCACGTGCTTGGAACCGGGCCCAGCGTCCCATATAGACATTTACATCGAATTTTGAAAATTTGAGATACCGGTCCATTACCCGGCTTAGGCTAAGAAAAATTGGAGCTGCTTAGGAAATCACGACGGCAAACTTCAGAATTGGATCAAATTCAGAAAACAACTCAGGAGTCCCCCATCTTTCCTCTTTTATTTCACTCCGGCAATGATATCTCAAGGCCGTTGCCCTTTTCAACACAACACAACACAACACAACACAACACAACACAACACAACACACACCACACCACACCACACCACACCACACACAACACAACACAACACAACACAACACAACACAACACAACACAACACAACACAACACAACACAACACAGGTCCAGACTCCTATTCCACTGAAACCTTGACCAGATTCAGCAACACAACACAACACAACACAAAGTCGACTCCGGTCCAGACTCCTATTCCACTGAAACCTTGACCAGATTCAGCAACACAACACAACACAACACAACACAACACAACACAAAGTCGACTCCGGTCCCGACTCCTATTCCACTGAAACCTTGACCAGATTCAGAAACTGCATCCAAGTAGAAAGGAAGCGCCTATTCATCGGTTTAGTCCGGTATACTGTACGCACCACTTTGGGTGTCCACTCTGTAATGATAGCCTGCTTGAGGTAACCGTTATATTTGACCGCTGCTCTTATCATCGGTCATCGGGGGGGGGGAGGAGCCTTTCTCCACTTCTGACTGCAGAATTTCTGAGAGTCCAAAGAGCCCAAAACACTGCACCCCGCAATGTCTCCTCTGCATACCCCAAGGGTGCAATAGCTGTTTGCCGACGAGACACGACGAGTCGCGTTCCCTAGCAAGATCAAATCCTCCGACCATCTCGAATAGGGTTCTGTGGCACAGACACCGAGCCTCCTCGCCACCACTCCCAGAAGAGCGCAGACGATCGACAGTGAAGGAGGTCCTCAAGTCTTATGCCTTCACACGGAACACACACAGCGACGATGCTTGTGTGCTCTGCACCCGAGAAAAGAACAAAAAATAAACTGGACAACTTTTGCCTCCGAGTGACATCGAAATTCTTTACCGCATTTAAAATAAAATTAATAATTAATAATTAATAATCTTATTTTTATTTTTTTATTATTTTTGGCCCGGTTGGGCGAGTTGCCCCGGGCCACTCTGGTAGCCTAGAAAAAATGATTCAAAAATCCGGAAAAAAAGTTAAAAAAACTATGTTGTGCAGAAAGATAAACTGAACAGTTTTTGCCTCAGGGTAACATCGACATTCTTTGCCAAATTAATATATATATGGCGATATGAGTCGGTGAAACTCCGACGAAACAGTTTGTCACAGCCCCTCGTTTGTTGTCCTCTTCTCCCTCTCTGCCTACGGTTTACCGGCCAGTTCTGTTTGTGACGATATATATATATATCGTCAAATAGAACTGCCCGGTAAAGCGTAGGCAGAGAGGGAGAAGAGGACAACAAACGAGGGGCTGTGACAAACTGTTTCGTCGGAGTTT